CTAATTTAAACATTCAATCTGACATAACGTTGAATAAGGTGCAAAATTTCACTTAATTGTGCAGGAACCTTTAAAAAACATACTTTGTTACCAGTTTCATTATTTTTCATCAATGCTGTATGGCGAGAATAGTTGTTAGAAACACACAAAGCACATAACGTTTTAACTATGGTTTCCATCCACACTATTCAGTATTCACATTTTCTAAAGTCGATTATGACTGACTATAGAAACTAGCAACTATATAACTAACAGAACCACTGCCATTTAAAGCAAAATTAAAAAAGATATTTGTATCATAAATTGCTAAAAGAATACCTGAAATTTTTTTAGCAAAAACAGTCCATGCTTTATAAGAATATATGATAGTACTGTGACAATGTATGCAATGTTTACAGTTTGTACCACGTGACATACGAAAATATAAGTGGCAAAAGTGGTGGATTCCAATCAAACCCATAAAAACCATGTAATAATGATTGTAAAAATACACTTTGATATATTTCTTGATTGTAATTAGTCGATTGCAGTGCAGTTTATCTGTAATCATAAAATAACAGATAAGATTTTTAGATTTGTCTATATGTAAATAATACTACTCATCGATCAAGCTGAGACGACACAAAGAAAATTGTAGTTTTGTAGATCAATTTTCGGAGCAGAGTCGAGACCAAGTAATTGTTAAGTGTCAGTCGTCTGAATTAGGAATAAAGCTGTTCGAAAGGAATTAGATTCAAAATTAGAGGATGTACAACAGAATGATAGATGCAATGGAAGCTACCGACTTTCAAGACAAAACAATTAAAACGCCTTTTAATTATATCACATTCACATTCAGTGTAAACAATTTATTCATATCGTATCTTCCTATACTGTATCATATTTCGTAACATTAATCATTTCGTCCTAAAGATGGCAATTTGTTAATGTAGAAACATGTTTGCTTATAAAAAATTATCGTTTTTTAAATGTTTTTTAAGCTTGCTGCTACTCAGAAACTCTGGTAAAAGTTTCATACTTATGCATTTGCATACATTTCGTAAAAAAACAGTTTAAAATTCGATATTTCATTATTGACATTATTGTCTGACCTCTGTGTGATGTATGCTCATTGCTCCACGTCATTTTAAAATTTTAAAACTATGCGTAAAATGTATACAATATGAAACAAAATGTCTTTCTAGTGTGGAAACATTGCTTCTATAACAAGCAACAAATACAAATACTTTATTTCTCAAACTATGCATTTTTTTTAGTTCGAATGTTTAAAAGCCATTCGTCATATAGCCATATTTATCTCTCATAAAAATGCAGAATATATGACTTCCTCACACACAAATGTAAAATTTCAGCAGTAAATGATTGCATGTTTCTCTTTATGTTGCTCTACCCATAAATCATCTCGAGAAAATAGGAAACAAAACATCAAAGAATAAAGGTTCCCCTTATCCTCTTTTAGTGCATCTCCTTGGTTTTCCTCTGTACACATGACTTACTGACACCTGCCTCTGCCCTCTACTAACATACTTTATTTTACCTTCACATATAAATCGGTATGTTGTGTCATACCACTTGGACACTCGTCATTTTGCTTACGTTAAATTGTTTACCCGACGTTTGTATTAAATTACTTATGATTTGTGAGTAACAAGGTATGAGTTTTACTTGCCGTCAATATTAGGGCTAAGACGATTACTACTGGCTTCACTTGTTTCTTCATAGAGTCTTGAAGAAGACGCTTCCATTTCATGCAAGATCTGTCAAATCAAAAAATGGTTAATGAAGCAAAAATAAATATTAGAATATCACTTGTCAAGCGTCAAATTAAGACCTTTTGAAAATTTTTGCGGCTTATGCAATATAGTAAAAAGCCGTTTCACCTGAATCACATTCAATGATTTGTTAGATAAAAATGAGCATGCACCACTCTTATTGACCTTCAAAATCAGGTTTTTCACCATCTATATATCATTTTCGTCACTGTTTATCCCCAGTTTCAACTGCAATTCTTTGAAGGACATAAAGTCAGTATATTTAGGGATGAGTTAAACAAAAACAATTAAATGCATAAGAGTTGCTCCAATTTCCCAATGTACAATGAATTTCGATAGTAAATGTGCATGTTGGACGAAAAGGAGAGCAAACAAAAAATAATGAATTAAAATTTTACTCATTTATCCAAACATATCTGATGCGATAAGAAGCAAGCTGACCTGAAGTTAATAAAAAGTTCTGCTTATTGTGAGCTGTGTATAAAACCTTGTACGTATGATTTGAGCGTATTAAAGTTAAAGTTTTCCGAAAATATTTCTATTGTCTAAATTATTCTTGTAGAAGTTATAAAGATTTGTTAGCATTAATTTTAATGTTTGGTTGTATCTTTTAGGTATATTTAACTACAAGCTGTTTCTGGTAATAAGAATTGACTCGTAAGGTGAAAAGTTAAGTTTATTAAAATCACAAGTCAAAACGAGTCAACACCCAGAATACAAAAACGTTCATTGCTGTAATTGAATTGAATAATTAGTTTATAATTAGTTAATCGGATTATTTTAAATAGAAGAGCCTCAAACATAGCAGAATTATATTATAATTTCTGCTGTATAAAACCATGTGGTCCAAAAGCTCTGTTTTTACAAATCAGAAATCAAAGTTTTTCAGTTTTTTTTATTTAATGCTATGAATTCGCATGTATCACCTTAGCGTTAACAGCTTGACGAAAGATAATTGCAACATTACAAAACACTAAATGTTTAAAAAAAACGACTAAATATTTAAAATATTCAACGATGGCATGCATGAGTCTATTTGCAATTTCAAACTAAATTTTCTTCCTGATTCATTAATGTCATTTCATACTATCACAAGTATAATGAACTAACACATATTTTATAAATATACCGTCCGGACCCAAAGATAAATACAATTACATGCTAACAAGCAATTTGAATTCCTTAGCAAGCAAGCACATCATGATAAACACGCCTTCCTTCAGATGACAGTGATTTTTTGGTAAGCAAATTGCTTGTATTTGTAACTTTGTTTAATTGGTGTACAACTACAGGATCACAAGTTGCTACGGGTATCTATGATGTATATCTTATTGTACTAGGTTGAGACTAATATTTATAGAAAGTGTATTAATTATATTTGACGAACAACTTTTATTTAAGATCTCATTTATACATCGTTAACACACACAATAATTCTTTGTGTTTTGTCTTACAAACCTTTTACCGGTCGACGGTTGAAGCTTTGAACATTCGATATTTTAGATTTCTTGACGTTCTGATAAGTTAAGCGTCAAATGGCTTCGTCCTTTGAGTTCATACGTGGCAAATTATTTTGGGCAACTGAATTTAAAACATTAAAAGATAATTGTTATGTAAAAGCAAAGATACGGCCTTATGATTTTTATTGTTTTTATTAGCATGTTTGAATTTAATTTGTACGGAATTCATCAATGGAAATGAGAAGTGTAAATTATATTACATTATACCATTTTCAAGGTACTTTGGTAGCGATTGGTAAAACACTACAGCTCGATATGTCACTTTTATTTTTATACTAGTGGTACTCTTGCCTGTTGAATAACACAATATCATTGCACAATCATATGTCATGAACGTCTAAATTGTGCTTATTGAAATCTTTAGTATAAATGGTTTATTGATAAATATTTAAAAAAGCTACATTTCCAAAATAATAACGTTGCTAAAAGGCAAAAATACTTTTTACAAACATAAATTAAATTATAATTAAACACATCAAGATAAACACGCCATATTTTAGATGAATGGCAGTGATTTTTGTTAAGCAGTTAATATGTTTTTATTTGTAACTTGGTTTGATTTGTGTACAATTACAGGATTGCAAAGTGTTACGGGTATCTATGATGTATATTTTATAGTACTTGGGTGTGACCAACATTTATCAAAAGTTTATCAATTAAATATGACGAGCAATTTTTCTTTAAGATCTCATTTACAGATCGTTAACACACACGATAATTCTTTATCTGTAGTCTTACAAACCTTTTACTAGTTGATGGCTCAAAACTTTGAACATTCGATCTTTCAAATCACTTAACGTTCTGAAAAGTTAAGCGTCAAATGATTGCGTCCTTTGAGTTGATACGTGGCAAATTATTTTGTGCAACTAAATTTAAAACATTGAAAGTTTGTTATGTAAAGCAAAGATACGGCTTTATGATTTTTATTGTTTTTATCAACATGTCTGAATTTTATTACCGTTTCCTTGGTATTATGGGAGTTTGTTAAAGAAAACCTTAGCTCCATAGATAAGAGTTGATCTTACACATGAAAATTCACAATATCAAATTGTGGAATTTTTGTTTCATTTGCTTGTTTAAGTTGAATAAGACAAAATAGGCGTTCGTTGGCTTAAATGTTGGGGAAAGTAAATCTCACGCCTTGATAAGATTACATTACATTATATTCTGATAAATTAAATGAAGGAAAGCTGATATAGAATTCTTATTGTAGAAACTATAAAGATTTGTTAAGATCATGTCCGATGTTTGGTTGTATTATTTAGGTATATTTCAAGCTGTTTCTGGTAATCAGAAGATAGCAAAAGTTTAGTCTATTAAAAGCAAAATTCAAACGACTTCACACAAAGAATATAAAAATATCCATTGCTGTAATTGAATTAACTAATTAGTTTATAACTAGCTGATTGGCAAAAAGCCAAAAAAGCCTCAAACGTGGTCGAACTAAATTAGTCAAGAACTGTAAACTGAATAAATTTTTTTATATATAGACATATACAACACCTCCATGTGGTCCAAAAAAGCTTTGTTTTTATAAACAATGTTGTACTCAGATATCTCAAAATTAAAAGTATCATGTAAGCTATGTTTCTGCGATGAACACTACATCGGGTTTCTTGCTTGGCAGGGAATTGCGAATTATTTTGAGCTTTTGTTTTTAAATGTGAAGCCTAATTATATATGCAAAATGCACTTCCGGTTACCCACTAGAGATACAAATTACTATAAAAATGTTTGGCGGATAACGTTTGCAAACAAGGATTTTCGAATATTTAAGACATTTGGCGACGTTTTACTTATCTCAAATATCTGTCATGGATAAATAAAGTTATTTAAATCAATTTGACATCAAAGTTATCTCGATACCTGTAAAATATCGGCGTTTGTGTTCATTTGAAAATCGTTCGTGCAAGAATCGAATTTGCCTCATAGTTGTCAAGACAAGATAATGCACAGCTCGCTTTCCAAGTTTAGAGGCAGTTATGATCTAGAATATGTTTCAATGCTTAAATTTGTGGTAAGTACCTTTATTTTATCATTCTTTATAATCTAGAGATTGTCGTATGTTACTTTTGCCGTGACTTTATGAGTCCGGGTATATTGATGTTGGAACAAACAAATTTACTAAGCTTATTTTATACTTAGTTTTAATTTCTATTTTTATTTTATAAAGATAATATTATCACTACACCTTGCTACAGCATTTGGATATGGTATTCATCAGTACGTATGGTTGTTATTGTCATAACATGCAGGGGCGGATCTAGGGTATGTCAAATCAGTCACGCGACTGATGTTTATAGTTCAAAAATTACTTATCAAATTTAATGATTACAATTTTTTGTGATTATTGAATTCTCGATGTATAATCGTATGAATTTCATTGTTAAAATTCTGTTTTATATCTGAAATCTTACGTAAATATCACGTTTTAGCATATCTGGAATTATATTCACTGACTGACTGATAAGCGGTGATAATTAATATTTTTTAACATGGGGCTATGTGATTATGTGATTTACAAAATGTTTTTGATTAAGAATCACGTAGCCTTAAACCTTTAAATAGTTGTACTTTCTATTGCAAATTATAGCATTTTTTAAACAGTGATATAATTTTACAAAGAGGTAATTGAATGTTTATTCATAACAATGCATGGTTGCTTTATAATACTAGTAAGTATCGTTTGTCCAATTATTGCATTCAAGACAATATGTAGTTTACAACCCACTTTTTTATCTCTTAGATTGGTTTATTAACTAAGCCTATTTGTTTAGTAAGCTTGCAATGTCAGTTAAATTATTTTTAGTTGTTATGTTGCTTAAAGCATTTTCCATTTGCTGTTGTTAGCAAGTAAACTATAATGTTATACTTAAAATTTTAGGGTTATGTATAAATTAGGTATGATACATGCATGTAAAGTAGAGAATAAGTTACAAATGATTGAGGAGACATATAAGTTACCATGACCTGTGAATGAGATTCATAATTTTTTTTATCAAAACATTTTGCTAAATGTTGTGATCACCAGCACTTAGGGGGAATGGGTTGTCACATTAGGATATGTTTAAATCAATCAAAAATAAATAGAGTGACAGTTACATTTTATTATTTATTTTAGTTCATATCATAATGAAATGTGACCAGGTGCAAAACAGAAAAAACTGGACTTTCACTAATAGAGCTTCAAGCTGTAGTAATCTGTTAAATAATGTTTTTTATAATGACCGTGAACATTCATAACCTTTACAAAAATCAGCTCGAACCGTTACCAGTCCTAAACAAAGTTTTTTCTCTTTGCAAGTTGGTCTTAATGATTGTGATATTGGGGAAAATGACTGTGCTGTTTCTGGTGAAGTTGATATTTTAGATGTTTCTTTTTGCCATGAAAAAGCTAATTCTTTGGTCCATGTGAATGCAGACATTGGGGAAAGGCGTTTTTCTGATTCTTCTGATTTTGAACATGATACTTTAAATGTTTCTTTTCAAGATAGGTTAGTTGATTGGGTGAATGAGTACTCAATTAAGCAAAATGCTGTTGATGGTTTGCTTGCTCTTCTTAAGGATAATGGTCATCCAAATTTACCTAGTTGTGCTTGCACTTTGTTGCATACATCAAGATGTATTCCCATTCAGAGAAATTCTGACATGGATTACGTAAACTTTTCTTTTGGTGAACAATTGTTAAAGCACTTTCACAAGCATCCTTGTGAAACAGTTAAGAACAATAATCATCTTGAAATCTCTTTAAATGTTGATGGGCTTCCTTTGTTTAGAAGATTTCTGCAAAAAATGTATGGCCAGTGTTGTGTGCCATTTTGAATATTAAACCTGTTGTAATGTTTCTTATTGTCCTAACATGTGGTGACTCTAAGCCAAAAGACTTGGAGTTTTTGGATGAGTTTATAGAAAATTTGAAGAATATTCTAGAAAGGGAGTCCAAGATGGGGAAAAGGTTCTGACTGTTACAGTAATGGACATTGTTTGTGATGCTCCTGCAAGAGCACTTGTTAAAGGTACAAAACTTTATAATAATTATTTTGGTTGTGACATGTGTACACAAAAAGGGAAGTGGCTTGGTCAAGTGACTTACTCTCAAAATAATAATATGGCATTGCGCACTAATATTTCTTTAAGAAAGCAGATACAAGAAGAACATCGTCGCTTTGTTAGCCCTTTCTGTCACTTTCTGTTGATATGGTAAAACAATTTCCAATTGACTACATGCATCAACTGTGTCTGGGTGTTATGCGTAAATTGATTATGGTTTGGATGAAGGGAAATCGCGCTGCTAAAATGTCTGTTGCCCATGTAGAAGCTGTAAGGAAAAAATTGGTGGAGCTTTAACCATTTATCACCTCAACATATGTGCAAAAACCTATGAGTTTAATGGACGTTGACAGATGGAAAGCTACAGAATTCAAACAGTTTCTTTTGTATACTGGCAAAATTTCTTTCAGCTACCAATGAAATCTTATCAACAAATTCTAGAAGTAAGTACTGTAGTTGCAATGCAATAGGCCATTGCTTTATTCAAAGGAGTGCAGTTTTTCACATATTGCTACGTTGCATTTAAATCTAATGAGTGATTTTGCTTTTTAGATTTGCCTGTGTACAGCGAACTGCTGTAGGCGTTCGTCCTTTAAAATGTTGAAATTAGTTGAAAAAATGTTAGTTATAGTTAAAATTGCGGTTGTGTTCACCACGATTTAATCAAAATACATTCGTTCAAATCTAATTCTCAGCGTTTGATATCAAACTACTAAATGAAACTTTCTCGAGGTTTTTATTTTCGTCACCTTTCTGTTTCTGACTTTTAAAACTTGTAGTGCCTTAATTTAAATGATGTTCGTGCGTTCAATAAAGATATATGTTAAACCCAGTACGTGTCTTCTCTGTAGATACAAGCAACGTCTCTTCACAAGGAATTACTACAACTGGCACAAAAAGAGAAAGACATTCTCAACGAAACAGTGGTGTCTTAGGCAAGCTTTTCTTACAATTCATTATTGCATGTCTTGTTGTTACGTTTTCATTTACGTTCATTTCGTGTAGTTTGAAGTGTTTTTTTCTTCACAACTAACTGCAACACGTGATTGCTTTGCAGATGCGCATGACCTTTCATCGCACTAAACGCCTTCGACAAGTTTTATGAACATAACACCTGCAGGAAGATGTTCTCATCCAAACATTAATGGTACCTTTTCTACAGTATATAGTTTTTGAAAAGCGTTGTTATTATGTATGTGTATTCAATTAGCAATTTGATGCGAGTTTTATTTGAATTTTCTTGTTAGCATGTTGTAAGGTTTTATATTTTTAAGATATTACGTAGGTTATACATAAGTTATTCTATTATTTTCTTATCTATCTTGTAGGCTTCCAAAGATCACTTCTCACCAAACTGGAAACATTAATTGATAAGCAAGAAGAAACGTAGTCAATATTGCGTGCTCTGTTAAGCGCTAAGAAAGGTGTAGACGAGCACGAAATTGTGGAAGATGTTGTACCTAATCCCTTAGATTCGGTGTATCCCTTTATAAGTGAAAATGCCACACTTTTTGCCCAACTCACCTCCAATTCTTCGTGTGTACCAAACCATTTACACTCTTCAGATGGACAGTGTAATTGAATCCTTTTTAACTCACGCTTCGTGAAAGCATCCGGGAAAACCTAGATGGATCCATGGAAATTGATCTTTTATGAAACAAGATTTATTTTGGTATAGAAAACTACTGACTGAGAAGAGTTTCCTAAATTGGCTCATACATTTTTTAACTGTTTTAATTTATGTATTATGTATCCAAACTGATGCATAAAAAAGATTATCAGAAGCACCTGCAAAAAATGCATTTGTCTGCCAAATAGTTTGGTCTTTATGGTAGACAAATTTATTGGAGTATAACTATTTTGAAATTAGTAAGGAATTAACTGACCTTAAATTAAATGAACCTTGAAACAAAAATTCCTTCATAGTTTTTTTTGGTATTTCATTTTTCTATAACCACTTCTGTTTTTCCGCCCATGCAAGAATAATTTATGTTAATCACTTCAATCTTATTTTGCCAAATTGTGTTTTCTTTATGTATGACTATAAATCAACATCTATACTCAATAGATCAAATTTTGGAATCAGACAATTCATTTAAAATAAAACCATCAGCCAATATTTCAAAACTACTTCCAAAATATGTTATTATATAAAATGTCAAAAGGTCTTGCGATATTTCTGAGGGCTCAGTATCCTTTCTGTTGGGTTTTGTAAGCAAGCTCCTTGGAAAACAGGTTAACCAACATAATATGTGTAACGACAGGAATAGCCTTAATATCTTCAAAGTTTCGTCAGGAAATCTGGTTAGAAATGGTAACTACTTATCAACATTTCTGTCATGGACATGAAAAGGACTCAATGTTGACAAACCAATGCCATCAAACTTGATCAAACCAGAGGTAATTGCTCAGAAGCAATCACCAAGATGCAAGCTGTTTTTTAACTCTTTACAACTGAACTGATATAAAAGAGCAGTTTTGCTGTACTGACACGAAAAGCAGAAATTATACTTATCTCAATAATTTTTTACAATAAAATATCATGCAGTTGCTATAAAAGCTTTTCAAATTTTGTGGGTGTTCAATGCTCACTATGTGATCACATAAAATAGTCAATTAATGAAGCTGCTTGAGTTTTCAGTCTTCTTGTTTTATATACATCATGTTAGAGTGAAAGGTTTTCATTGATATGAAAAGTTTGCTAACCTGTAAATATATGGCATTCAAACATCATTAACTTTAAAGCAAGAGGCTAAAATTGCAGGTGTTTTTCCTATAATGGATGGATACCCACATTTCAAATGAACATGTTCTCTCAACAGACACCCTGATTCCATGGTCATGAATAAAATTATGTTGCTCACAAATTTAGCCAAGCCAGCATATTTTACGTATGTAGACTTATGTATGATAGTGGTATGGTGCCTAATCATGCATTCAATTTTTTACAATCTGGGTGATGTTTTATCCCTTCTATTGCAAGATTAACTTGACTTAATAGTATGCATAGAATAGAAAAGGTAACTTACCCACTTGAGTCTTGGCCCTGTTTCTTACAAGTTTAGTGATTGAGTTAGAACACAGAAGGAATCAATCTTTCTCTGCACCTAAATAAAAAACACAAAATGTGAAATGTGAAGCTGGGGCTAAATTTAGTGCATTTACTTCAAGACAGGGATGGATCAAGAATGATTGCAAGGGGGTACATGGAGTGCTTTGGTTTGGATTAGAAGTTTTTTGATGTCATTGTGTCATGATGGGCTTTTATGTTAAATTCTGTTACTCATAGCATAGGTAGCCTAGTGGGAAATATTTTTGAAGTGTGCTCCACAGAACACAAATCATAATTGCTTTTTCCTCAATTCCCCTGTATATTAATAATTTAAAGGAAAATTCATACAACTTGTAGCCAACGCTAGGAAGAGTGCCTAACCCACAGTAAATTCATCTCTGCTCCAAGATTGACTTAAAACTTTTAGAGGGCTTTGGTTGTGGCTTTTAAAAATTAGAAAGCCTCTCTGCCTCAATTAGTTCTCACCCATCAACCCATTCAGAAATTACCCCATCTAAATCTCTTAATGTAAGCAAATCAAAACTGGCAAAAAACTATTTTCACCAGCATTTACACATTTCAGCAATTAAAGCATAATACTTTACCTACATAAAAACAAAAACTTGATGAGAAAAGGGATTTTAACGTGTATGTCTACAGTCTATTTAAGATAGCTATCAAGTTCAAAATCCATCACACGTTCTTATTTCTGGCGAAACACAAACACATTTACAAACAAAAGAATTTATTGACATTCGTAATCTTCACCAAAATCAACTGGAAAGCTTATTCTGAACGTTTAGAATCATTCCTTGAACTCAAACATCTAGAAGACCAACGTACTTCAAGTTGCCGATACTAAAGTGAACAGGTAGCACATATTTTACTTTTTAAGCTTTTCAAAGAATGAAATATGAATTAGAACGCCATAACCGACTCTGCCAAATGTTTGAATTCAAACAGTACATACGAAGAACAAGGAGTTTAAACAAGGTGCTCAGTTTCTAAGTGTTTAAGCAATGCGTGATGAATCGCAATCACAAAATTATTTATCTTTTATAATTAGATTTAATTATAAAAGCAGTGATAAATACGGATATTCAAGTGTAACATGTGAGATATTGTATTACCAGCTCGCGATCGCATGTTTGCCTATAACATATAGCTAGTAAATTGAAAGCAAAAAACTTTTTGATTCAACAAACAATCAACAAAGCTCATAAGTTTTAACCTAAACAATACAAATTGCATGCTCAATCTGTTTTATAAACGCACATTTGTACGAAGCAAATCAAATGATATTTTTCATATCGACATATCACTTTCCGGGTTGAATCAGTTATTTATTTCAAAATATTCAAAAATATATCTTTCGTTTTCCGACATTTTGAAGGACGGATTTTATTACGATTTCGCTGTTTTTCATTTACATTTCACAGTGATCTGTTCATCACACGAAGCAATCTACGACGATTTATGTAATTAATTATTGAAAGCTTTTTGTTGAATTTGCATAGGCAAAGTACAAACGGCATCTACGTACCTCCTTTTTTTGTGCAAAAAAAAAAAGAATTATATGCGTACTGCTGATTGCTTAGGAATCAAAGTCATCAAAGCATCGAAAATCTTTGGAAAAATTTCATCGACAATTAGGAGTTAAAATATTAATATTTTTGTTATAGATTTATTCGACAGGCATCATTTCAATAGGTTTCTGCAGGAAACTTCAATACCATTGCATGAACAACGCATGCAGCATGGGATGGCCAGGAATAGTGTACGGTTGTGCACCGTTTACTCAGGTTTATATTTGGCTATTTCATTTAGAATGTAAAATTTTGTAACAAGACATCATTTTATAAAATTTGATGCTATGTTGCTTAAACATTTGCGTGCGACAAACCATAAAATGTGCTGAGTACTATATTTCCGTAATTCTGTCCTCATAAACTTTTAAATGAAAATTAATAGCTAGTCAATTAATTCTGTTGATAGTCATTAAAATTTTATGTGTTTTATTAAAAAGTGCCAAAAATGCAGGGCCGTAACCAGAAAGTTTGAAGGCACATTTAAAAAAAGGAACTTGTAGACCACACAACTGTATATTTATAAAATTTTGCATCAATCCCTTTACGTGAAATTTAAAATAAAGTGTCAAATTGCAATCAACAACTATGCTTTCTTGAATAAATGTTTATTGCTTCCTCTACGTCAATTAAAAAGGATCGAAGGTAATGTAAATGTAAAAGAGCAAGGGTGGTTAATCGTGATTGGTTTATTAAGGTTCTCATGTAATTATTTAGCTCGATATTACTTATGCTCGCTATGAAATAATGGCATCAACATGGCCACGTGATTGTCTTTATTGTAGCGCATGCTCTGGTGCTAGTCCACTTTTTATTTGAAGCTACCGGGAACAGGCTCAAAAACATAAAGATCGTTTTCATTTTCAATAATGTAAAAGACATTATTGATTGTTCATTATTCTTTTATTTCTGTAAAGCGAACTAGCGTAGAAAAGCGGACCTTTTTAGTTATGAGGGAGGGGGGGGGGGATGCACGTGTACCCAGTGTGGTTACGGGCCTGAAATAGAAAGGCGCCAAAAGAGATTTTGTAATCGTTAAGCAAACAAAGTCAAAAGAAGCGAAAATCCGAGATACCTACCTTCAAACTGTCTAAAAGTGCAATTCGTCTGGTACACTAATTTGGTACGTAATCACTATTTCGATATTTTCAGTCAATTTTTGAGTGCGTAATCTTTTCTTTGTTCAAACAAGCATGCGTAAAACAGCAATTTCTGAGTTTGCCAAGTCTTTCGAATTTCGCAGACTCGTAAAAGCAAAAAATCGCTTTTACGTTAAAGGTCGTAGATTCGTGAATTTTCTCTGTTCGTGAACCTTAATTTTGAAGAATCGCTTTTACGTTGATGCGAAATCGTAAGCAA